TGGAACAAGTACCAGTATTCCCGCTCCAGCTCTCCTGAGTTACAATGCTGTATCTCCTTTTTTCTTCATATTCTTCAATCTTTCCTCTAATACTGTATTTCCCATGCATGCTCCCATATCAATGCCTAGGAACAAGTGTGAAGCAGCATCTTCAGTCCTACAAAGACTAAATGGCAGAAAAAAAAGGGAGTGGGATCTTTCACTGTCTTCTGCCTCCTCATATTACTTTCTTCAAAAATCAAACCTTAATATATATATTTGTCCCTTTTGCATGGATTTTAATTATTCTAAAGCACTATGGAAGTAAGACAGCATTAGAGAAGTGGAAGTGATAGATTAGCATATCTGATGAAATATAAAAATCAGATTTCTCATTTACTGGTACAAGAACATATTTCACTCAATACACCATGCACTGCTAAATTCTTTACCTTGCTTTTATCACTTTTATGGCAGGTATACGTTTCATGAAATCTCTGTGTGGTAAAATTGATCAGGCCATTTTAACCAAAAAGCAAAGAGAGAAAAGAGGAGTTACTATCTGTAAGTATGGGCACACCAGTTGTTGGGTGTACCACAATTTTAGAGGCTGTCTACCTGTTCAGTCCAATCACAGTTACCGTAGTCTTCCCCAGGTAGGGAAGAATGCGTGCAGATGGGGAACTTCTACCTAAGGTCATACCAAGGAATTCTCTCTCCATTGAATTCAGAAGAGATGATGACTCATGAGCTGGAAAGGTCAAAAAGTGGAAGCAAGGACTAAACAATTCTCCAAGTTCACAAGAGCAAGCTAGTTCCTCTCTCCTGCTCTAAGAGTCAAGCAACCCCAAACTGCAGTAGGAAACTTGGGGTCAATAAAACTGTGATACTCTTTCTGCAGTGCTAAATCCAGCTTTCTAGTGCCTTGTGGCACTTAAAAGATCAGTAAGGTATCCTTCTAATGCCTGCCAGAACAGGATGAAAAACTAGATCAATATTGCTGCAGCATGAACAGGCAGTATCAGCTGCTTCTTTACTACAACTGCATCAGGCTGTCACTGCCCTCACATCCTCCCTAACAACCAACTGAGCAATTTCTGGTGATCTTCTATCTCTACAAGTTAGCAGCGTGCTTGTAGGAAAACGGAAATCTCCAAGCCTTTAGGTTGTTGGGGTTGTTTCTGATCCAGAGCGTGGATGCTGCTGAGGTTCCCTCAAGACTTTTCACACAATCCTTCACGAATTATTCTGCACATCTCAGCATCAAACTTCCTTGGCAGCCAGCAAAGACAGTATAGTCAACTCCTGAAACTATCTTACCAACAAGTAAGAAGACAGCAATGAAAATATTATCTTTGTTGTAATCTGTTGCTTTAGTTGCGATGGACCATGGAGGACCAATAGCCAGAAGGTGACAGAGCTATAAAATATTAACAGGGACCACCTATTCCCTCACCCTTCCCTGCCTTTCATTAGCTGACACTGCAGTTTTCCTGGCTGCAGGGATCAGGGCGAAGGAGAGCAAGGCAAAATACCTACTCCACAAGTGGGCCTAGTCTGGCTTTTTATTTACATTCTGTGGATATGTCTACTTGAGTATCAGAAATGTGCTTTTGAGGGAACTCTTCCACATCTTGGTTCTCTCTTGGAACTGTTTGGGGCCCATGAACAGGGTGACATTTGGATTAACTTGAAAGCTAGGATCTCTTGGAGAATGCCTAATATGTTCCAACCTTTCTGGGCATCCAGTTGGCAAAGTCAGGCAACAGCTAGTCCAGGGTACTCCTCAGGACACGTATAATGGGGTGTCAGGTCCTTGGCATCAAATGTTGTGCTGTCACAATCAATTTGTCTTGCACCACACCACTTGCTAATTGACCCCTGGCAGCTACCACAATACCTAGAAGCTACTCCTACGTACAGAATCAATCTTCCTAAATGAGATACAGGCTGTGATAGATGTCTCATTTAGGACAGCACATTACATAGATTAATTCCTCTAGATTATAAAGACCATTGACTCCATCCTGTTAAATGTAATTTATGTGTCTGTAATTAAAAAAAAGATAAAGTGACTGGTAATAATATATTCTTTTATCATTCTAATGCACGAATTTGAGCAAACACTGTAAAATGACCAAAAACTCTTAAGACAATCCATTTCTGCCCTCTGAATCTCCAAGCACCCTCCAGCATTTGCAAACAAACCAAATTCTCGTTTTGCCAAGACTTTTGAGGAATGCACATCAATGTGGGGACTGAGAAGGGACGTTCAAAGTCAAGGTTCAGCTCAGTCACACTAGGTGCCTGTTTTGCTTTTAGTACATCTGGACTTCAGACACTGAACCTTTGAATGCTGTACAGAGAAATACATCATTAGTGTTATTGACTGTTGCCTTTGCTAAAATCTTACACATAATAGTTCCACTTCACTGTTTCACTACGGTTTCTATTGCCAGAAAGCTCCAATGACGTGCTTTATTAGGCAAATCCATCCTTAGTTAATTTAGAAGTAGGACCTGTATAAACAGCAGAAATTTAGGATTGTGATTAATATAGCAAATGTAATTCTGCCATGTAATTTAAATTATATGTAAGTCATGTTATAAATCTGTAAATGTTTCTGAAGTCTGTAGGCTTCTTGCCAGCATTAATATTGGTAGAAAGTAAGAAATATTTCTCTGGTGTTTGATTGCTTTTCAGCCTCCAGATCTGATATATTCTCAAAAATCTGTCCCAGTCCTCCATCTTGTGATATTTAATACAGTTTAAAAATAAAAATTTTTGCCTACATATGGATTGCTTACACAGGTGAAGTACTTTACAAAAGAACATGAGCTATTTCAATATTTATAGCTTTTTGATGACACAAACTATGGCAAGGTTATATTAAACTACCTTGACACTAATTTATGAAAATATATTAAATTTTAAAGATTGAAAATACAAACTTTGTTTAATTTTTCATTATATAATCCATACAAGTGTTCATTGAAAAATATTCCAATGAAGCAGACTTCCCATGTAAATCACTCAGGGAAAAACTGATTTTCCATTTCATAGAAGTATAAATCTAGGGATCTAAAACAAAAAGTCATACAAAAGCTGTTAAATCCCAAACACTGCTTAATAAAGATTACTGCTACGTTAGTCGTCTTATGCAGAACAGACTCATACTCATGCCCTTTAACTCAGCATAGTCATGACAGAAGTTTGTACCATCTCAGACTCATGGGATAAGGCATCAAACTGTTTTGTGGATATGGTCCCAATATGGAACCATGATGCAGTTATCCATTGTTAGGATTTTAAATTATCAGTCTGGAACTTAAACTAACTGAAGGTGACTAACCCAGGAGATGTCACGGAGAGGCAGATCATGGAAACATAAAGTCATAGAATGGGTTGGGTTGGAAAGGACCTTTGAAGATCAGAGAAGATAGAATCTTCTGCTACCTCTGGACAGCAATGATAAGCCAATATTGCTTATTTACAGATTTGGGGATAAAAAATTGAAGTTTAGTGACTGTGCTCAGATGTCATGGATTTACGTTTTAAGATATCAGCTGGATTTAGCTTCTTAAGAATTCAAAGATACAACTGAACTTTCTCACAAGCACAAACTGACTTCTTTTAAATTCTAGTTTTAATGAAGTAACAGGAAAAAAGGGAAGAATTTAAATAGTCTCAGTAAATTAAACCCATCAGACAGCTACATCGGGATTGTGTGTAAAATCATTTCATTCCTTTAGCAGTCAGGGTCTGCACTCCTTACCTGGTGCATACCTAGTAAAGGACTGCTGGAGCACAGCAATCACCCGGATTGGCAGCTGTGGAACCAACACAGCATCTGCTAGGATCATGTGAGCATATGTGTGTGAGCATGCGCACGTGCACACACACCCACACACCCACAGCCTCCTCTACATTTCTAGAAAACACAGTGGAAAAGAACATGCAGACCTGGGAACAGGGATGCGCATCTGCATTCTGCACTATGGATGAAACCCACAATATTTCATATGTGTCCAGGGAATGTACTGAATAGGAAAGGTAACAAGATGTAAAGTAAACAGGAACCACCAGTTGACTCACTTTCTCTAGCCTTCATATTCACCTGTTAAATATTGGCTGATAGTATAAACTTAGGGCTGGTGTCATCAGGAAGGGTGAACAAATATTCAGGATCGAAACCTAATAGGTATCGATTCTGATTCTTCAGTGTTCCCAGTGTCCCCAGATGAAGCAGTTCTAGGTAACAGTCAAAAGTCACTAGTTTGTAGCTAAGCTTGGGCTTTTTCTTTCCTTCTCATAAATTTTAGTTAGTACTTCTATCTCTACTGCTTACCATGGAAATGATACCAAAATTCTGAAGAAACGAAGCGTTATCTCTTTGGAAAATAGGAATCATTAATCCTACACAGGTGACCTGATGAAGTGATTACTCAGCTAATGCAGTACGTTCCTGCCATCTTGTGGCACTGCAGGTTTTGCAACTCTCTGTTTGTTATGTTGAGTAATTTTTATTTCAAATTAAGTTAATGGTTTTTAAGTTTCAGATGTCACCTAGTTAAACAGCACACACACATACACTGAGTGAAATCTTGGTCTGACTAGTAGCAGTGTCAAAACTCCCGTTGATAAAAAAAACTTCCAGATTGCACTAATTGTATTAATTTCAAGGTCTTATTATGTGAAAAATGAAAATAAATTCAAACTAAATAATGTAAAAATGGATTTCAAAGATTAAATTACTGTTATACTGAAATAATCTGTAGTTATGTCTGAACTAATACCTTGCATTTCTATCATGAATTAATCTATATTTTTCAATTGGGATGCTTTGGTGAGTTTTGAAATAGATACCTCCTTTTTCTGAAGAAAAAAGAAACTGCATCTTTTATATGACTTATGTGACTTCAGGCAAGAGCCTGCAAGGGCTTGTTCAAAGTACTTACTTTTCAAAAATAAAGGGACATATGAGATTGTGCTACTGTCCGATTTCCTGCTTCTGCTTTCAGGCTGGAATCACCAACACGATCTTTGAGCATGGATGCACCACGAGGAATTAATATCAAAGCACAAGCTGGGAATATTGAAGCTCTTTCGCAGATGGATATCAAACTACACAGCAGTGATGGTGTGGTGAGTACAAGCCCTTCTGTTTCCATAACTATGGTTGATCTTCATGACTGAATATAACTATAACTTCAAGTCTTTTTTTCACGTCTGGTTATTTTAATTCCTCAGGTTTTAGGAGACAGAGTATTAACATTAATAGTGCCAACAATAAGACTTTTATTTATGTAAATAATACTACCAATTGACATAGTGTTGTATTAGCTTAGAGAAAAGCTCTCTAATAAAACTTGGATAGCAGTCAGCTCCCCATGAGCATAGTGATCCCCAGGTATCCCAGTGGGGAATGCTGGCCCAGAAATAGACACTCAGCCCCAGAGTGGCTAAATTAAGTAGTGAAGCTCTTCAGACATCATTAAGAACTGCCCTGTCAGCAACAGCACACAACATGCAGCAGCCTATTTATCCCCTCTGCGAGGCTGTACCGTGGCAGTTCTTCCACAAAAGAGCTACAAATGAACCCACGTCTGTCCTTAACCAGCCGGCTCGGTGGTGAGGCTTCAGCATTCAGGCCAGGACAGACTGGGTCCCGCAGCAGTGCTCATGTCCTGTTATTCAGTATATGGGCAGGGATCCCCTCTCTTATCTTAGAATCATTGAATGAATTGTGTTGGAAGAGACCTTAAAGACCATCTAGTTCCAACCCCACCGCCGTGGACTGGGACACCTTCCTCTAGGCCAGATTGCTCAAAGCCCCATCCAGTCTGGCCTTGAACACTTCCAGTGATCAACAACTTCTCTGTGCAACCTGTTCCAGTACCACACTGCTGGAAGAAATTCTTTTTTATACCTAATCTAAATCTACCTTTTCCAGTTTAAAAACAGTATCCCTGACAAAAAGAGTCCCTCTCCAGCTTTAGTGTAGGCCCCCTTTAATTACTGGAAGGCTGCAATGAGGTCTTCCCGGAGCCTTCTCTTCTCCAGGCTGAACAACTCTAACTCCCTCAGCCTTTCCTCATAGGACATGTGCTCCATCCCTGTGAACAATTTTGTGGCCTCCTCTGGACTCACTTCAACAAGTCCATCTCTTTCTTATGCTGAGGATCCCAGAACTGGACACAATATACCAGGGCAGAGTAGAGGGGCAGAATCCCCTCCCTTGACCTGCTGGCCACACTGCTTTTGATGCAGCCCAGAATGTGATTGACTTCTTGGGCTGCAGGTGCACATTATTGGCTCATACTCAATTTTTCATCCATCAATACCCCCACATCTTTCTCCTCAGGACTTCTCTTAATCTACATTCATCACCCAGCTTGTATCCACGTTTGAGATTGCTCCAACCCAGGTACAGGACCTTGAACTTTGTGAGGTCTCTGCTAATGAATACATGGTGGGCACCAGCTTATCCCCACATGTGTTCCAGTGTCTGCCAAGAGCCTAGCTCTCAGAGCAGGTTTGTATATAACAAGTCGGGGTAGAAGGCCATTCTTAGATATCTGCCTAGACAAATTCAGCTTGTTTTATGGCATGGTATTGCTTTACTTTATTATCTCTAACAAGTCCATTTGTCCTGCTTTTTCCCACACAGCTTTTGCTCGATGCTGAAACTGTGCGACTGCCCAAACTACCTGAGGGTACAAGGGGCGGATCCGGTATTTCTCAGGGGCTCTATGAAATCTGTGTGTGTCCAGATGGAAAGCTCTACTTGTCAGTGGCTGGCGTGGGCTCCACCTGCCAAGAATACAGCCGTGTCTGCCAATGAGGCACCAGAAAAGGCCGCACACCCCCTTGCGCATCTGAGTTTTATATTACTGCTAAAAAGCACTACTGCAAGAGTATTTTTCAGAATTTAAAAAACTAAGTACTTCAATTTAGGAAGCAAATTTGTATCTACAGTTCTGGACTACAGGGTGTAAGGGGAAGAAGAGCACAAATGACATTTCAGCTTCAGAAGAATGACTTGAATCAAATTACATGTTCTGTCAGTAACACTTTGAAAACAGCCTTACAGAGAGCATAAAAAAATAAAACTATGTTTCCTTGCTGAACTGTTATTCAGTTCAGATGTTTATGTCATTGTTCCTATTTTTGAGATCCGTGGGTTTTTTCTCTCACTACTTGTAAGCACTTACTGTATGAGTGGGTGAATTTAGATTGAGGGAACTACTTGAACTATTTGCTAAGACAAAGCATTATTTGGAGAATTCAGAAAGTGCCAGCAAATGGTCTATGCAATTTTGTTCTTGCAATAACACATGATATAAAAATGTGATATTTGTATAAGTTCTCTGTAAAAGGTGTTAACTTGCTAAAGCTTTCTATTTTAATTTGGCAACATATATGCTGATTTGCTTATTACTGAGATTCATATAAAATTAACTAATAGTAAAAGCTCCAGAATTCATTAATACCTTCGTGCGTCTCAATTCTGTCCACTATACAACAGAGAAATACATTATTAAATTTTATAATAGCAGTTGTTTGTTCTACTGCCTGTACTGTCATATTCATTTAAATCCTTTTTTATTTTAGGACATGCTAATTCAATAAGGCAATTTGTTCTGCCAGCTGGACCACTAAAAAGAAAAAAAGTGTGGCTTCAGATTGTCTGACACAAGGAATTGTTTTAGCAGTGGGGAAAAAAGTTCTTTTACACAGCCCACAGGTTTCAATTAACAGGAATATTTTATTTCTGTCTGCAGCTGTTGACTGATATTTCTGATCCTGACAGAGTGGGACTCCATCACAAATGGACAGAATAAAACTGCTCTTTATTTTTTACATTAGGACTTGGGTTACAAAATAAGTGCTCACCAGAGTTGACAAACTCTTTAGTAACCTTGTAAAGAAATACAGCTGCAGACCCATTCCCCTGTACAGTGTTGCACTGAACACAAATAAATTGTTTGCACATCTCTGGGTAGCAAGATTTGTATTTAATAGTCTGTTGTTTAAACCTCATGGGTTTTTAATTCCTTTGATGCTGTTTTGTATACACTTGATGGTATTGTTATCCAGGAAGGAGCTGCTATCACATGGTGCCTTGGTGTCTATTTACAGAAGGATTTTAACCCATAATTGTTAGTAAACCACAGAATGTCCATCCTTTGGAAAAAATAATAATCATCCTTAAAACAGGAGAATTGGAACAAAAGAGTTACTAACTTTTTTTAAACTTGCTACTTCGGCTTTGTTGAACAAGGGAAGAAAACAAACACTCAGTTAACATGCCTGGTACACACAAAAGCCTGAGCTGAGGAACAGTCCCCTGTTGACAGTATCCACTAGTATTGCGGTAAAGCCCTGGACAGTCCCTGCCTCAAGGGCTGCCTTTGCAATTTACCTAACTAGTCTGATGTACAAAACTGAAACTGCCCTTCGGCATTAATTGTGGAGCCCCCACAATTAATGCGAGCTAGAAGAGCTTCAACAGGGCAAGTAGAAAATGCTTAAGCTGAGCTTAAGCAATTGAAGCAAGGTCTCACATGTTATTTGGAGACTGCTCCAATTGCTAATACATTCCCTAAATGAGAAGTAGGAAGCCACACTTCTTTAACATCTGAAATTCCCTTTTCCTGGGCTTAGACTCACTCACTCCTACCTTCAGGAGCAGGTCTGAGGCTGTTGGCCATAAAGAGAAGAATTTATATCTCTACAACAATATCTCTTGATTATATCTGCCCCTCCAACTAAGCCTTCTTCTGAGGCAGACTTTAACAGAAACATGTCTTCAGTATTCCTTAGGCAGTTTAGGTGGTTCCAGCTCCATGCATAAGCTTTTACAAACCAAACTACGAGCAGATTTAGCTTATTCATTGGATAGAAAGTATGAGTATTAAAATAAAGATCAGCAAATGCCTTTGCATGTGCCATATTCCTAAAAATTCCTCCTAGAAGAAGTAGCTTGGAGGGCTGTAATGTCAACAGTCTCTTATGGATGTAGTATTAACAGCAAAACTGGGAAGTGCTTAGAGATTTCAGTCACTGTCTAGTTTTAAAGGCATTTGAATTGTCACCCTTCCCAAATTTCTGACACCACAGAACATATGTCCACTTCCATGTAGTATCAAACTAATCATTCACCTAATCTAATCACTGTAAATTAGTTACAAACTGCCTATCCTGCCAGCAATAGAAGCACAGCACTTTAAGTTATATTTATGTTATATTTTAAGCTTTTGTTTTGGAGGCACATTTTCAAATGTTATTTGCCAGTTAACAAAGAACAAAGGATTGAACTAAGGCTTTCCGTGTATCACAAGAATAACCTCTAACTTCTGGGTATATGGAAGCCACTTCTGTTGCAACTTCTTACACTGATGTTGTGCTGTTTTAGTTAATGTTTTTACAGAACTGAGGTATACAGCTCGGACAGTAGTGTTACCCTGACTGGTAACACTACTAATGGCACTTCCTTTAGACATTGCAATAACTACCACCTTTCCTGTACAGATAAACCTTCTGGACTTGCCTCAGTTCACAGGTGGCTTCTGATTATTATTGAAAAATAAGCAGCTATACCGTCAGTGCTGCCATCACCCAAATAACCAACTTGCCCCTTTTCATTGCTTAAATTTCATTCTTCTTATCATTATGCTACAACATTGATATCAGAAGTATTGTTGCAGTATAGAAGTTGTGTACATTTTTTAAAGCACGGATGGCAACATCCTATCATTGAAGAACATTTTTTGGATCTTTTTTCTTTTAGATGTGGTTAGTGGTAAAACAAAATTTATACTAAAATTACTACACTGTAATCAGGTGATGCTAAAATCTCAATTGTTAATCTCAATATAGCTCATCCATCACTAAATTATCATTTCTGATATCTCCACATGGATGTCTTTCCCTTTCTCTTTAATACTTAAAAATTACTGTTTCTATTTGAATCAAATTTCAGTAAATAGTTACAGATTAACAGAAAATTATGGCACAGGGCAGTGTGAGTATGCAGTTCTCTAATTTATTTGTAAAAGTGTTACCCAAATGGAGAAGAGAAAAAATCACTACCAGCATATTGAACCTTATTGTGGTAGGGAAAAAAATATTTACTCCCTCAAAAAGAATTATTTACAGCAATTCTTGTAACTGGTTGCAATTGTTACACAGCAGAAAAATTATAGTAAAACTTCATTGGTGATTGCCCAAACTCAATCCTTTTTGTTTCCATTTTACAGTCCTTTAGTGTTTACACTTGTCTATCTTTATATAGCTTTATGCAAAAAAAATTGCGAGAATTGAAAACTGAGTTCTTGAATAAACTTTATACCTTTTGAAAAGTCTGCTTCTCCTTTTGTGTTCAAATGAAACACAGCTTAAATGAATGTTTTCATTTTTAAACAAAATTATCTTCCCAAGACTCTAAGAATGTGAAATGTACAGTATTTAAAAATATGAACAAAAATCTTGGTCCAAACTAAAAATGTACTTTGCAGAATTTAGAAAATGCTTTACAAGTAGGTTTCACTGGACATCAAGAATTCTTTGTCTTAATCAGTAGTATGTAAAAGTAAACAAAAAAATTACTCCAGTGGTACTGAACTAATCATCCAGAAAACAAACCAAACAGTTTTGATTAAAAACTCATTGACAAATCCCTTCATGTGACAAAAATGTATGTCTTCAAATGAAAACATTTACTTTGGCTGTCAAGTTTAATTATCTTTGAACTATTACTTCTGCCTTTGTTCCATAAGACCAATCCAACCTTTCTCAAGTGTTCAGGTCCAGCAACAGAAAATCTCAAAGGTAGTACTACCCCCTCTACTTTAATTGGAGCAATTACAATAGATTTAATTACAGCCTTGTTTAAAACAACCCATGTACCAAGTGAATGCAATCCTTATAGTAAGTTTTTAAATCCTATTTTCCAAATCACCACAGTAACTTTACTGATAATGATATGAGTACAAATCATGCAAAACTGCATTTTTTTACACAATAAATCATTTATTTTTCTTTCGGTAGTCAGATACACAAAAATCTATTTCCTTAACAAGAAAAAAAAGTTATTTTTCTTGTCTCTAATTGCTGAGGCAATTGTTCAGTGCTTTTTAAAACAGCTGTGTATGCCATTGTTTGAGAGGAAAAAAAGCTTCCACAGGAAGCTAGTAACAAGCCTGTCAAGGCTTCTTACAACTGCAGTTCCTTAGATTTCAGCTACCAAATGTATAGTTAAATCAGTCACCTGTACTACTGATTTTTTTGCTAAACTTCTCAGCTATAATCCTGGGAGGCAAGACTGCTGAAGCTCCTTTTCCTAGATACAGTGCTGGTACCTGTGGAAGACAGGACATATACCTGAACAAAGAGACATTTTCTCTAATGTGAATTTGTGTAATGTGCAGAATTACTTGTCAAACATATTTTTGTGAAACCTATATGCTAACATTTATTTCTACAGACCCTTACTAAGGAATCATCACATCTAACTGTTCTAAGCTTCCACACCCAACTCACTCATGTTGCCAAGTCTCCCAGCTGAGCTAAAAGGAAGCAACAATTAAGCATTTTATTTATGTATTTTTATTTTTAATCAAGAATTAAATGGCACTTATGAAATCAGTTTCTATCACAATATGGTTTCCTGGTCTTACAAGGCCTCTTTATTTAGGCTAGCTGTTACAGTGAATTAAGCAAATAAGAAAAGAAACTAAGAGACTTCCAGTTGAAACACCACTTTTGCCTTCCTCTCTGCATCTGTATGTAAATTTTAGTTTCTATCCAGCTTCTATAATAGAATAAATTAATTTTTCTGTGTCATTCAGGTTTTCTTGCTCATCTTGGTTCAATATTTAAAATTGCTTCAGATCATTATCTTCCTAAGAACTGGGACCATTTTCTTTCTCACAGTGTCAGCACTTAACAATATACACAAAATAAACAAAAATTTTAACAAAATAGTTTAGTAATTCTTCACAGCCAGTTTAACAGTTCATAAAAATAATACTGGTAAGGCAACATAAGTTGCTTATAAAACACAGTTAGATACTTAAAAAAAATTTCTTTCTCAAAAGGTCACCTAAAAACAGGGAAGTGTTCATAGTGCTCCTGTTACTCTTTTGCATGCTGCCATGCTATCTTATGTTTTAGCTCCATTTAAAATGAAAACCGTGAGAACTGTTTCCTTTTCAAGTATTTTGCTTATCCTCAATGCTATTCATCTGACTTATTGCACAAAGCAAGAACCACAAAGGAATCTATTTTAAAAACATATGGAAAAAAACTAAACTGATTTATTTCATGGCACACCAGGACTTGTGTTTTATTTACATGCTGTTTATTGCAAAAAATCAGCAAAATGCACAATTTCTTTGAGAAAATTGCAAACATTTTTCATTGCAAGAAAAAAGCACATTTCCTTTTCAATAGTATTTTAATATTTGTACAATTATTTAGAATTAATTGAAAAGAGATTGTGTATTTACCTATAGAAAAGAAAGCTTGAAATAATAGGTAAATTTAGCCTATTTTATAAAAACCAAGACACATCGGACTGAAATATATGTTTGCATTTTTCTTTATTAAAATTATGGCACTTAATATTTATTAGCAGAAATAATAATGGGGCTCCACAATCAGAAGCAGTATCATTTTCCAAACATCGCATTTGTTCAAGAATGAGCCCTTATAATTTACTCAAAACTGAAGCAGTCTTCATCACGATTTTTTATTTTCAGATTACAACACTATCACAGCTGTATCAGCTGTGCAAGCTTGCTGTTCTTTATTTTCCTTTGTATTCTTTAAGTTAAATTGCAGTTTCACTGTGCTGTCAAGTAGACAACTGTAATAGCATGTCACTTGAAAATGTGTAACATTTATGTTTAATGTGGCTGATCCAGCAAAGAAAAATCCTTCCATTTAGCATTATCCTTCTATTATTTATTTTTTAAATTTTTTTACAAAAAGCTAATGTTGACCATATTGCATGACATTACCAAAAGTATTACAAACTATAAAAGAAAGAGTGTGAACTAAAAATAAGGTTTCTCTAGGGCTGTAGTGAATAACAAAATAAAAAGAGCATTACATTGCAGCACCTTTAAACATGTAACAAAAAACAGTGCTCTGTGTACACCAAAAATGGGTTACTGAGTTGTACTATTATCAATGTTTGTTTGTGGAAAAATATATATATATGTACACACACAAAGGCACACACACGGGGGAGGAAAGAAACTCAAGCATTTAGACGTCTGAAAACTGAGTTTTGGTGTTCAAAAAACAAAGAAATCATAAAACACCATATAATAATGTTCACAGATTTTATAACATCCACATGCATTTTTCATTAAACAAAAGATGACAAGCTCTAGGAAAAAAAAGAAAGTAAATTAAATACTTCATTATTTTATAATAAGGTAAATGCAATCAATGCATGACATGACATTGCATGTTAAATCAAGTATTAAAATAACTGTACCAGTTTACCGGTACTAAACTATCCTTTAAACGTTTACAATGTGATGCTGCAGCAAATTTATAATCAGATCCAGCTGATAAGGGTATTACTGTGAGTGGCATGAATTTCCACAGAACACAAAAGAATACAGAAATGCTTTGGAGCAATACCTCCAAAGTTATTTTAACTTCCATCCAATCTCCCATTTCATTGTATGTCCAGTCTTAAGACTAATACATTGAAAACGGACATTAGCCTTTCAGAAACATTATATTAAATGAAATAAATCTAATAAGGAGTTATAATTACAGGCTTCATCTAACAGAAAGCTCAGCTTTGGTTATATAAAGTGCAGTTCAATAATATGCCAATTAATCACAATGTTGTACAATACAGCTAATTTCTGCAGCTCAAATTCCTTGCAAATTC